AAAAGGTTGGTTTAGCTATCTCTGGGTTGCAGAGACAGAATAAAACTCTGCATATAAGCAGACCCCTGCAGTTCAAACTCTTGTTGTTCAAGGGTCAACTGTATTACACAGGAATTTGTGTCACTAAGAAAGTAACTATATTTAGAACTGAGAACTCAACAATCTCTTTCTGGTATCTCAAATGGCAATAAGAACCATAAAACTAAGCCAGCGTGTACCTATACAAATAGATTATTTTTGAAGATCCCTACTGAAGACAGAAAAGTAATTGCTTTCTAAGAAGCAGAAGTTATGTTACATATTCTTATACAAAAAGGGCTATTTTTTTACTTCATTCTCTGTCAGTTGGAACCTCCTGAGATATATTCACTTCTTAGAACAAGCCATGTTTTTTTATTTGCTTGCGAATTATCATAATAATAGTAATTTTGTTGGAACAAGATACTCTGTTACCAGGCTGAGCACAGTGGCTCATTCCTGTAATCCCAGCACTTTGGGAGGCCCAGGCAGCCAGATGACTTGAAGTCGGGAATTGGAGACCAGCCTGGCCAACATGGTGAAACCCCATCTCTACTAAAATTACAAAAATTAGGCAGGCATGGGGGTGGGCACCTGTAATCCCAATTACTCAGGAGGCTGAGGCAGGAGAATTGCTTGAATCCAAGAGGTGGAGATTGCAGCGAGCAGAGATTCGTGCCACTGTATTCCAGCCTGGGCGACAGAGCAAGATTCCATCTTAAAAAAAAAACATACACAGAGAGATACTCTATTATCATTAGGCAAAAGTTGATAATAAGAAATATTCCAATAGCCAAACTCTAGGCTCAAAAATTTATAATGAAATTATAAAAATGTTTCACAATAACAAAAATAGAACACCTAATGCATTGTACAATCTGAACTGTATTATGACACCATAAATTTAGTACATATGTATGAAACCGCTTCTATAAGTTAGGTTTGGCAAATTGCAGGAGATAAAGATGGCCTTGACACAGTTTTTGCCTTTAAAGGTGCTCATAATAGAATACAGATAACTAATTTTTGTGTTTTTTTTAAACAGAATTTTAAGAAAAAAATATTTTATTCATACACTTGTCCAACTTAAAAGATAACTATCAGTCATGTGTCTTTTATGGACTAAACATTTTTTCCAATGTTACAAAATACATTTTGAAAATACAGTTAGGAGGTTGTTATGACCTTGTCATTTATTTTATTTACTACCTTATGTACCACTTACTGTGCATCCAGTGCCAGCTGGGAGCTTACAGTTATTATTTAATATGTATGTATTATGTTCAGTACATGCAGGTCACTTTTACATTTGTGGTGATGAATGCAGGCTTCTGAAATGTGGGTAGAATTTAGGGTAGGTGTGCAGAATGAGTGGAACTTTGCCAAGTAAGGAGGCAGAGGGTTGATGCTTCACAGAAGGAGTATCTAACAAGCTTGCATGTCTGATGGAAGCAGCAGCCATGAAGAATGAAAGCTTTAAAAAAGGAGGAGCAAGTTCAAAAGGTGGGACACCTGAGTGAACTTCGTAGAGTTTGTGAGCAGTTCAAATTTACTAGTGCAAAAATGTCTAATATGGGTGTGGTTGGGAATGGGGTGAAAATAGCTTATAGTTATTACTTATTATGTATTTATTATGTTCAGTATGTGCCAGTGAAGGCAAGCTTAGGAAAGACTTTGTTGTTGTTTTACCTGTGTTTAGAAACAAGTTCAATGAAAGGCTTTTTAATGCATAGAAATGAGTAGATCTCATCCTTTAGGCCAAGGGAATCTTCTCGGGTAGAATGCTTTTGCCTGCGAAGACTAGAAGACCGAACTAACAGTGTCCAAAACCATAAGAACCACACTTGATTTGGTTGTCCAGCGATACTACTAGATCCTACTTGTTCCTCTTTCAGCTATAGTGTTGGCACTGTTTTCTTCCTGTCTCCTTTCATGGTTGGCTACTTAATAACAGCTCCAAACATCATATTCTCACAAGACAGTATCTAAAGGCTGAAAAGGCTGCTTTTCTTCACATGTTTTTTTTTTTTTTAAATCAGGAGAAAACTCAGAAGCATGCAGGAGGCTTCCTTTAATATCTTATGGGCTGGGTCACACCACATGCTCATCCCTGAACCAGGCACTGGAAAAGCAAATATAATTATGTGATGAGCTTAGAATAATTATTTCTCTTTTTAAAGCTAGGCAGGGGTATTGGGATAATAAATATCCAAATAGATTTATGTTTCTCCAGCAAGAAACAATAAAGAACTGCTCTTGAGTAGGGAGCCAGCAGTGTTCACTCTAGAATTTCATTGGAAAATTGTGAGCAGGGGAGGCATTAGATTTGAGAATTAGGGCATTCTGTTCATGGTGTAAAGCAGAAATTGACAGGTTTCTTCTGTAAAGCGCTAAATAGGAATCTCTCTCTCTCTCTCTCTCTCTCGTGATTTAAGCAGCTGAAGGCCATGTGATCTCTTGTAGCTACTCAACTCTGCCATTGTAGTGTGAAAGTGGTTATAGGTAGCATGTCAGTGAATAGGCATGACTGTACTCTCATAAAACTTTATTATTGTTATTACCATTGTCATTTATTTTATTTGCTACCTTATGCAGTGCTTACTATGTGTCCAATGTCAGCTGGGAGCTTACAGTTATTGTTTAACATGTATGTATTATGTTCAGCACATGCCAGGCACTGTGGCCTGTGGTCTCTAGTGTGCTGACCCCTTATGTAGAGGATAGACACAGGATAGATGTCACCTGAGCATATAGTGATTATTTACTAGGTATTTATTATGTTCTTTAGATGCCATGCACTTTTAAATTTGTGCTGATGAGTGCAAACTTCTAAAAAGTATGTAGGATTTAGGGTAAGCATGCAGAATGAGTAAAACTTTGCCAGGTAAGGAGGCAGATGGATGATGTTTTCCAGAAGGAATATCTAACAAGCTTGCATGTTTGACAGAAACAGAAGCTACAAAGCCTGCACATTTGAAGAAATGAAATAGGAGGTACAAACCGTAAGATAATTGAGTGTCTCTACTCTTAATTACATAGAGAGACTGGGAGACAAGAGAAGCTTCAGCTGAAGTTAACGCTATAGTTTTCTTGTCACAAATCCATGGAGTACATGAATCTATTACAAGATTTCCACCCATCCATGATACAATAAAATGATGGAACTCCAGTGGATTTATTTGAAAATATTGGTGTTGCTGGGCATGGTGGCTCCTGCCTGTAATGCCAGCAGTGTTGGAGGCTGAGATAGAAGGATCCCTTGATGCCAGAAGGTCCACTAGCCTGGGCAACATACGAAGACCCCATGTCTATGTTTTTTTTTAAGAAAATGTAGCTGGGTGTGGTGTTCTGCACCTTAATCCCAGCTACTTGAGAGACTGAAGCAGGAGAGTTACTTGAGCCTAGAAGTTTGAGGCTGCAGTTAGCTGTGATAGCAACATTACACTGTAGCCTGGGTGGCAGAGCAAGACCCCATCTCTAATAAAAATAAAATCAAATAAGTAAGATAAAATAAAATACAGTGCAATGTTGGTCTTTTGTTTTGGAATTATGTTTTTTAATTTTTTTTTAATTTAAGAAATGACAGTAATAGTTGGCTTATACAAGGCTTTCAAAAACTGGCTTCTGCCCAAATCTCCATCTGCAGCCTTTTCTCTGACTGCCCTTTTATTTGCCATTACTGAGCTGCTCGTAATGCCTCCGTCACCATCCCATTGATGTAGACAAATACATATGCTCTGAGAGGCTTCTCTCCCTCTCTTGCCACTGCCTGGCATTTGCTACCTTTTCTACCCTCTGCCTCTTTTAATGAACTTCACTCTCTAAGTCTCAGCTCAGGCTCAGGTATGATCCCTAGAAAAGCTGTCTCCGGCGGCTTTTGTTTCCATTCTTTAAACCCCAGTGTTTACCACTTAGCAGGAACTCAACAAATCTTTAGTAAAATAAAGACTTTATAGAAAGATGATTGCTACAGTCTAGCAGCAAAGAGGATAGACATGTAAAGACATGACGTGCAGTTCGCAGGTGGTGGAGTGAACTAGAAAAATTTACCATGTACTGAGGGAGCCTCAAGGAAGGAGACATCTGTGTATGTGGTGAAAGCCGGATGCCTGGAAGACTTGACATAGCTTTCTGAGCCTTTTTTTTTTCTTTTTCTGTTTGTAGAGACAGGTTCTTACTCTGCTACTAAGGGTGGAGTGCAATGGCGTCATCAAGACTCACTGTAAACTCAAACTCCTGGGTTTAAGCAATCCTCTCACCTCAACCTCTTAAGTAGCTGGGACTACAGGTACATACCACCATGCCTGGCAGATTTTCTATAGAGTCGGGGAAACTGACTCACTATAATCTCCAGGCTTGTCTTAAACTCTCAGCCTCAAGTAAATCTCCCTCCTGGGCCTTCCAAAGTGCTGGGATCCCTCCTGGACCATCCAAAGTGCTGGGATTACAGGTGTGAGCTACTATTCCCAACCTCCACTTGGAGTCTTCAGTAATGAAAATAAATATGTCAGAATAGTAGAGGAAAACCTTTCAGAAGTTAAAAACAGGGTGCACCCTAATAAAGATACAAATGGTAACAATAATTTTGAAAATATTAGTAAATATCAACTGCTTAACATGTTGTTCAAAAGATACTATTATGAAGTAGAGAATAGTAAAATGTTAACTTTGTTTGTTTTTACTATATTTTAAACTTTTGTTTCCAGCAGTTTTGTTTATTTATGTTGGGTGGAACAACTTGTGGGTGACTCTAAAATTTTTGCATGGTTTGAACCTGCTGGTATCTAGTGTCTCTCCAAGTGGTTTGTTGAAATTTAGATAATTAGAAGTATTACTTAAAGATATAAACATTCCAGTAAACATTAAGCTTAATGTAAACTCCCAATTTATAAAAGTATGTTGTTATGTTTCCATTTTTATAAAAATTATAGTCTTTAACTGTTCTAAGTCATCCATTTTAACTAAACATATGGATTTTTCAGTAGAATATGACTTAAAAGTTGCTTCAGAGGAAACGCCAGAAAGGCTTGAGAGAAGTGAAAATATACAGCCACAGGTATATAACAATTTAAATCTAAATTTCCAAATTAATATTGTTTTTTAAATAACATAACATAGTCCAAATGAAGTGACCTTTTTGACTGTCCTTTTAGAATCCAACAGCTCATAATTTCATTTTTAATTTGAAAACATTTTAATCAGTTATAAAATCTGAAATATTCTTTCAGTCTGTAGTAACTCATAGCTGTCTTTACCCTTGGAATTGAGGCCAGAAATTTCCAGAAGTCTCTTTGCTCTTTTATTTTTAGAACCTTCTTCATGATAAAGCAGGTAACATAGAAAATTGAGTTGTATTACTATGCAAGAGAAATTAGGAACAATTTAACAGTGTTGGTCACTGAGGTCAACTCACGTTAAAGGAGTCAGCATTGCCAGCGGTTCAGACTTGGCAGGTCTTCTGTGTTGCTGGTCACCAGTGCCGACGTTAAAGATTTCTTCTGTTTCTTTGATCTTTGGTTGCCTTGAGTGTCTACATCCAGGGAGAGCATGGGGTCATAAAATCAACCCAACTGCCTATTAAGAGAATCACGCCTACCAGAATTGGACCTTCGGTGTCAGGATACAAACAATAACTTTCTTATTTTAACATAAGCAGTAAATATTACTACAACTGTTTAATCCACTGTCACTAGTGGAACTTAGAATACATTAGAACTGCATATAAGCAGATTACCTATCTCTATGTATAACACTCATATTACATATCAAATCACTTAAAGGAATGTAGGCATTATCTTATCTTTCTAATTGGTGTTCATTTTGGCTTCTAATAATTTAGTAGTTGCCTCCTCGTCAGGTAATCTTTAGAAATATAAATTCACTGTAGGGTTCACTATCTATGGTATGCTGAGGTAAAAATCTTTTTTTTTTTTGAGATGGATTCCCACTCATAGTTTAATAAAATACGGTAAATTTTGACATGTATGTGATTTGATCATGTAAGTCGCATAACTCCTCAGCCAAAAATTTAGCATTTGATTTTATACTAGAAAGCTGAGTTCTGTATATTATGTTCTAAAGGTAGAGATTTTACATCTTTCAGTATATTATGTTCTAAAGGTAGAGATTTTACATCTTTCAAAGTAAAAGCAATTTAACCCTCCCACTACACTCTGAGGCATCAAATTGCTTTGCCAAAGTCATGCTTTTAATTTATCTGACTAATTGGATATATTTATCTAGTAATTTACATAATTTAGATTGTATCTTTTCTTTTGGTGCCATGAAATACTAGGTAATGCCACCTTAGGAGCTTTGGGTGAATTATTTAGTATTTCTTGGTTTTACTTCCATTATGAAGTAGATAATGGGGCTAGAGTAGACAACTATACTGCATATCTGTCCGTTGTAAACTTCTGTGGTAATTTAATGTAAAATTTGGTCAGCAGTTTCGCTCTGCTCCTTGTGGTGTGGCAAACTTTGATTCCTCTATTGCAGTGAGTACCTTCACTTTTTTTTGATATCCCAAGATCCAAATGAAAAAAACAAAAGTAAAAGGCAGTGGGAAAAAGAATAACTTAGTGCAGAAAAGGAATAGCTTCTTTTCTTTTCCTGAAGTCTCACAAGGTCGTATTCTCTCAATGTGGCTAGGGTGACAAAGACAGAAGACACATTTTCTGTCTGTGTCTCTTTGTTTCTCTGTTTTTGTGTTGATATATTCACACCACAGAAGTAATAATGATCTGGTGGAGAACTAAAAGTAGAGTTAGAAGCCCTGGGGAAAATCCTGCAGCTTGCTTATATTTTTCACCTCTCTTTTTAAAAAAGAATTTTGAAAACTAAATCAGTTTCTCAGTGTATATATGTAGAAGTGCTTAGTACAATGTCTAAATTTATGATGTAGAAAATGTAATTCTTATAACTGACTAAAAATGTTAGAAGTGTCACATCACAATAGAGTCTTATCAGGGAAGCAGAACTTTAAAAACTTTGAGAAATTTTATCTGTCCAAATATACATGGAAGTAACTTGCTTACTATAGGTTAGATATGAGAGTATAAATGCAATTTTCTTTTTGCAATATTTTAATTTAGTCAAATTTGTTAATATTTTACTTCGTGCTTTGAGTTTGTTGTAATTCAGAGTAAGACTTTTACAATTCTGACATTCTTAAAAATTCTCTAGCATGTGTGTGTTTTTTTACTTTTATGGATTCATTAACTTCAGATAAATTTTTGAACTTTTGAAGTTTATGCTCTCTGAGGGAAGGTTTGCTTCAACTTTTTCTCCAGTTGGATATCCACTTACAGCAACCTTTTAAATTGTTTGAAAGTACAGGGTGTTCTTTCACTTCAGAGGTAACCATGATATTTTATTGAGTGCTGGCTTTTATTTTCTTTTGTTTTATTTAGGATTTTCAAAGCTATGGAAAAAAGAAGGCTGTCATGGCTGAAAACTGCATGTTGAAGAGAGATGCTGCTGTACTCAGACGGAAATTACACACAATAAAAAATGCCAGCCTCAGAAAGGAAAAGGAACATATTCAGAAAATGAAAAGTATTCGAGAAATAAATGCTAACTTTCAAAAGAGTGTAAGACTCAATGAGGAAATTATAATAAAAACAATATCACAGTATTGTCAACAGCTTAATGAACTCAAAGCTAAGAATACAAGGCTGAATTCAGAATTGAAGAAGGAAAAACACAACAAGGACAGAGTGGAAGCTGAAATTGAATCCCTCCGTTCTATCCTGGCTGCTACTATAAATGAGCACAATGAAAGGGTGGAAACAAAATACGTACAAGTTGCTTTACAGAGAGCACAAGATGTTTCTGTACAAGAAGTAATGACTTCTAATATTTCTCAACTAAAAGATAAGAATGAGTTGCTTATGGAACAACTTTCTAAAGCTCAGATGAAGCTCAGTACCTTAAAAGAGAAGCTCCATGAGACAAGAGATGCCCTCAGGGAAAAGACATTGGCTTTAGAAAGTGCACAGAGGGACCTAAGGCAAAAGCTGGATCGAATAAAGGACATGGAGCAGATGCATCTAAATGAGGAAGCTAAAGAGAGTCAGTTCATTGGAAAGCAGAACTGTATAGAGGAGAGAATACATCAAGTAGAATGTGAAAATCTCTTGCTTGAACAACTACTAGAGGCTAATTGTGAGGAAGGCAATAATGAAAAGATAGTACTTAATACCCAAGGAGGCTCTCTTGAGAGTGGAAAGGAAGGTCTTCTCCTAGAAGAGAAAAATAAAGAATCAATGAATGAATATAATTATTTAAAAGAAAAAGTGTTTCAGTATGAAAAAGAAGAAGCAGAAATAAAAGTAAGTATGAAGAAAGAGAAATATTTTTAACCTTCTGGAAAGAAAATGTAAACGTTTCATTTTGGCTATATGTTGAATCTAGTTCAATATTAAAAAGTAAATAGATGGAAGTGTGTTTATCATACTGTATAATTCCAGTTACATGAAACATCCAGAAAAGACGTCTATAGGAACAGAAAGTAGATTAATTTCTGTTGGAGGGCTGGAAATGGGTAGTGACTACTAATGGGCATGAGGGATTGTCCTGGACTGAAGAAATGTTCTAAAGTTGGATGGTAGAGATGGTTGCACAACTCAGTAAATTTAGTAAACATCTTTGAACTGTATGTGAAAACATAAATTTTTATAGTATGTAAATTATAGTTCAACAAAGCTTTTTTTTAAATTCAACCCCTTCCCCCCCCCAAAAAAAAACCTGCGTTTACTGTATTAGCTTGAAAACATACCTTGTTTCCTGGAAATAAAAGGTAGAGCTGACAGGTGCTTTGCTTTGAGTAAAGACATTATGTCACCTATGAAATTTTAGTAGATACAGAGTAATGTTGATGAGGTATGTAGTCTTATACTGCTGAAATAATAAATTGAATGTCTCTATGTTGCCACATTTTAAGACCATAATGAAGTAGTAGACATGTGGAAATGCTTGTACCTGAAATGAATATTTTGAAATTAAGATTCAATTAAGTGAGCTGCTTTGACACTTAGTTCTAGATTTCCCAGATGAACTGAAGTGTGTTGCTGTGTCTTATGATGCTTTTCCTTCAGTAGCTCTTTTATATATTTTAGTTGGTATAACTTTGTTTTGATTCCTGTCAATGTGACTTAAGTCTCAAAATATGTCAATCTCACATTATGTATTTTTTCTGACCACTTAATATTTTAAAGACATCTACTTGTCATAAAATCACAGTTTGGAACAAATGTAGTAAATTTTAGCATAACATATTTGATTTGGTGTTCTGACTGGTAGGTATTTATAATTTAGTTTGAATATTTTTATTAATAATTGGCTTATAATTTACATTTTAAGTCTCAATGACTATCATTTGGATATAATTTTGCGCAGTACAAAGATACTTGCTGCTGTCTGTGATTTATGAGTTTGCTGTTCAGACTAATGAGGGGTGGTAGAGTGCATGTAAAGTGGCAGTGAAGTGAGTACATGACAGAGTTGTAGGAGCTGAGGTCAGGGAGGGAGGTAGAGGCCATGTTACCTAGGGCCTTGAAGGCCATTGGAATTTTACTTTTATTCTGAGATAGGAATCTGTTGGAAGGACTTGAACCTGTGACTGAATAGGTGAGAAACTCAGGTTGAATTGAAGGTCTAAGATGAATGAATAGTGGGCTGAATCAATCTGTCATGTAAATAAGAGAATACCAATTTGGTGGGAACATAACACTTTCTGTGTTCCTCATGGAGTTCAGTAATAAACAAGAATGTGTACATATGAGGAAAAGAAAGTGAATCTGTGTGTGTGATAATAATTTTCAAAGTATGTAAGTTAGAGTTAAATATTATGAACATAATTTAATAATAAGGCAATTTGTAAAGTTAGTAACAAATATTTTATCAGGTGATTGTGAGAAAACTTCAAGAAGAACTGGCTGGTAGCCTTAAAAAAATATCTATGCCGGAGTCTCCACTGGAGGGTACATCACGTTGTCACATTAATTTGGAGGAGACAGAGGCTTCAAAGAAAAAATTATTTCAAGTAGGAAATCAGGTATGTATGGAATTTAACATGTCAACAGTTAACGTGTAGCTGGTTGAATAATATAAAGTGTTTTAGGTTACTGACTTCAGTGGGCAGCTTGATTTTGTATTTTAATTATAATTAATGACTACCATTTAATTATCTTTATAATATACTTATTTCTTAAACTCTGCCTTTTATTCTGCCATTTTGAAAAATTGCATACCTCTTCTCTCACAATATTTACTCATGGGAAAGTTGAGAATTATATATCATTCTCACAGAAAATTGACTTTTTTTCCTGTTAAACAGTATTTTTAGATACTTACTTTATTGCCTTGGTGAGGCAAGCCAGATTAAGTCAGAGGAAAATGTTTAATGGAATGTTCCAGAAAGTTGTCTTATTTCTTCACTTTTGTGAATGGACACAGAAGTTGTGCCTATTTATTTCATGGATTCTAGGTTAACTTGTACAGAAAGGCTATCGTACTGTTCTTTGAAATGTACGTGTTTTTGGTTAATTTACAAACTACTTGAAGAGTTAGGCATTACAACTCAGTGTCTTTATATTCACAGCGTTGTGTAATCATCACCACAGTAAATGTTAGAACATATCTACCCCTCTGAAAAGCAACCCGACATCTCTTAGTCATGACTGTAGCCCCTCTCCATGCCCTCTACCTACCCCAGTTGTAGGTAACCACCATCTACTTTGGTCTCTATAGATTTGCATGTTCTTCATATGTTATATAGATAGAGTCATACTATGTGAAGTCCTTTATGACTGGCTCTTTGACTCAGCGTAATGTTTTCAGAATTTTATCCATGTTGTAGCACATATAAGTGGTTTATTTCTTCTTATTGTCAAATAATAGGCTGTTTTATGGCCACACTGGTCTTCCATTCATTCATCAGTTGATGGATCTTAAGGTTTTTTTTCCACTTTTGGCCTATTATGAAAACATCTACTGTGAACACTCATTTACAGTTTATTGTATGGACATGTTTTTATTTCCCTGCCATTGGACTTTATCCTCAGAATTAACTAAGTAGATTTCAGCAACAGTCTTACTCATGCTGTCCATCCTGTCCCTCCTGCCTTCTCAGTTTCTGTTCATCTAGCCTCATTCATTCAGACCTGGTAGACAATTTCCTCTTCTTCATGAAGCTCTCTCTGACTTTTCTGACTCTCATTGACCTTATGTTGCAGCTCTTGTTTTCCAGTCTGTGCAGAACAACTTAGCCCTCAAATTTTCAGGGCTTTAATTTTTCTATAGAAGATAAATTTGTCTCATTATAAATTTGCTTAAAGGGAAAATAATATATGACACGCATCTCACCTATCCTTGTATAAATTAAAAATAGTTTAGCAGTTTCTAGCATAGAGTTAAATATTTTATACCATACCGATTATTTCTCCTTTGAGACATTGACACAGTAAATCTTTTATTCTAAGATTTTTTTATTCAAGATTCTACTTGGTTATTTTAGCAATCAACCAATTAGTCTAATGAAGGAGAATTGTTCAATCAAATGCTTATGTTTTTCTCAGTATGAAAAATAGGATCTAAATTTGCCTTCCTTCACTATGCAGGCAGAACTGTATTTCTGGATGGCTGCCAGTTTGTCAGCTGCACAGTTCTGGCTGCAGCTTGCCTGATGAACAATAGCACAGCCCCTTAATTTGAGAGCTTAGAAGAGTGCTAGTGAAAGCAGCACCACAACAACAGTTGCTGGGAGGGAATTGATTCTGGAGCCTTGATTTAGCAATAGAGGCCAGGGTTTTCAGCTCAGCCTGTCTCTGCTGGTCATGTTGATTATGTACCGCTTAATCCAGGAGGTGCGACTTACATCGTAGTACATACATGACTGTTGCCCACTGAGTCATACTGAGAGAAAAGAAAAGCATAAATTATATACTTCCCATTTGCTGCCACTTTCAGTGGTATGAAGAGTGATTCAGCGCAGCTATAGGTTGCAACTTCCATTGGAATGCCACCTGCCTAACATATGTAATTGTTAAGATATAAAAAGTGGTAAAAATCATCATGCTAATAGCAAATATTATCTGTAGCTTACTATGCACTATGTACTCATCTAAGTGCTTCAGGTTAGTCCCTGGTTTAATCTTCCCAACATCCCTGTGAACTAGATGGTATTATTCTCTCCATTTCATAGCTAAAGAACCAGAGACACAGAACGTTAATTAGCTCAAGGTCACATAGCTAGTACCTGGTAGAGCTGGGATTCAGACCCAGGCCTTCTGGCTTGTGCAGAGATACTGCCTCTCAAACCATTCCATGAAGCACCTGGTTGGGTAAGGTGGTTCACACCACTAATCCTAGCACTTTGGGAGGCTGAGGCAGGAGCAGTGCTTGAGCCCAGAAATTTGAGACCAGCCAGAGCAATGTAAGTGAGACCCTGTGTCTACCAAAAAAAAAAAACATAAAAGTAATAGTTAGCTGAGTCATGGTGGTGAGTTCCTGTAATCCCAGCTATATTGGGAGGCTGTGGTAGGAGGGTCGCTTGATCTTGGGATATCGAGGCTGCAGTGAGCAGTGATCAAACCACTGCATTCTAGCCTGGGTAACAGAGTGAGACTCTGTCTCATAAATAAAATGTGTTGTATAGATTCTCATATAAGTGAGTTAGACATCAGGCATAGACTTATTAACCACTTTGATGTCTGCTTGGGAGTGAAACATTTAATAAGGACAGCTTTAAACCATCTCAATCAATAGCCTCTAACTATTCCAGAAGGTTCTTATTTCATGAATTCCTAAGCAAGAGACTACCTGAATTAAGATACTTGGTGGACACCATTTTGAGATGAAGAATCTCAATTGGGAAGAAGGGAGATCTTTACTGACTATATCCCAATGATATAGTCGAGTGTCCCTCTGAAAGAAACTTTAGAACAAGACTTTCATCATGCCATATCTCTATGGAAAAGGAAATTCTTCAACAGAAAATGAAGGCAAACAATTGACAATCTTATTTTCATGGGAAAGTTTTAATTACTAAAGAAAACAAGAGCCGGGTGCAGTGGCTCACGTCTGTAATCCCAACACTTTGAGGGGCTGAGGCAGGTGGATCACCTAAGTTCAGGAGTTCACAAACAGCCTAGCCAACATGGTGAAACCCTGTCTCTAATAAAAATACAAAAATTAGCTGGGCATGGTAAGGTGCACCTGTAGCCCCAGCTATTTGGGAGGCTGAGGCAGCAGAATCACTTGAACCCAAGAGGTGCAAGTTGCAGTGAGCTGAGATGGCACCACTTACACTTTAGCCTAGATGACAGAGTGTGATTCCTTAAAAAAAAAAAAAGGAAAAAAAGGACAAAGTATACTGGTTTAAAAAAGAAGAAAGCAAGCAAAAAAGGACAAGGTATACTGGTTAGTATCCTAAGGTTGAGATGGTCCCACTTCGAGATTAGAAAATAGCACTGTATTCGAAGTAACATCAATAAGAATTAACATAAAATAGACAAGATTCATTATCTATAAAAGTAATCTGCACCAAATAGCAATGTATGAGCATGTGGTTGAAAATATTATCTATAATAAGTGTACTAGAAGGAATAGGCCTCAAGAAAAAGGTCGGAGATGAAAATGTAAATTAGGGAATCTGGATCAAAGTTTTGAGATTTTAGGAGCCCCGAGAGAGTTTAATAGAAAGGGATAGGACTGAACTTCAGAGGTTGCTGCATTTAGAAATGAAGTGGAGGGCCGGACGCGGTGGCTCAAGCCTGTAATCCCAGCACTTTGGGAGGCCGAGGCAGGTGGATCACGAGGTCAGCAGATCGGGACCATCCTGGTCAACATGGTGAAACCCCGTCTCTACTAAAAATACAAAAAATTAGCTGGGCACGGTGGTGCGTGCCTGTAATCCCAGCTACTCGGGAGGCTGAGGCAGGAGAATTGCCTGAACCCAGGAGGCGGAGGTTGCGGTGAGCCGAGATCACGCCATTGCACTCCAGCCTGGGTAACAAGAGCGAAACTCCGTCTCAAAAAAAAAAAAAAAGAAATGAAGTGGAATCAGAGGAGCAGAAAGAGCATTTGGTCACTGCTCAACAGTTGTGCTGGGCAGAGCAGGATAAAGTATTTCATGACCCTTGGACTTTTTTATTGGAATTACTAAAAATCAGATTTCAGTATTAAAAAAATAAGTGATGCAAAATAGATCTTTGGATGAGACCATGTGCCATAGAGTCCAATGGAAGGGGAGAAATAGGATAGTAATAAAGCCACAAAAAGTAGACAAAAGTTACATTTTTGTTTATTATAGAGAAAAGATAACTTTAAAGAGAAATGATTAAGAGAAAGGGAAAAAACTGAAACCCATGGGTGAACACTTAGAATGAGAGTATTTAGCTCAGCCTGAAGACAGATGAGGATCAAAATACCATGGGAACTAGATAAGAGTTTTCTAAGTAAGTAAATCGTCTCAGTAAGATGTAATTAACAAAACTTGGAATATCTTAAACTATTAATGATAGTGTTTCTAGAGCATCTTTAAAAACTAAAAGGTAAATATGACTACTCTTATTTTTTTTCTTACTAATGCTTAGTATTATATGTGTAAAACCCTCATTTTTAACCAACATTTTTTGCAGTTTAAGTTTCAGAAAATAATGAAAGTATGAATCATTTTTAGGTGTTTTAAGAAAATTGGCTATTTTTGAAATCTATCCTTATTGGCATCAAGTTTACAAAATGCACTTATACATGTGCCTAAATGCATATTACTCATCAACTTACAAGAAATACTATTTTTTATCTCTAGTGTCTCTAGATTTTACAAAAATAATTTTAAACACTTTTTTCTCAAGCCTGAAGAACAAAAGGAAGAATTAAGAAAACTTTTAGAGTTAATACCATCACTGGAGTACAACGTGGATCGAATAAGAAAGAAAAATAATGCATTAGAAGAAGAAAGAACTGGGTAAGGTTTCCCGACTGTAGCACAATTTTAATCATTTATTAATTGATTTAACTCTAATTTCACTTGACTAAACCTAGATACAAAGTCATTTTATGTCTGCGTTTTCATAATTAAATGAATTATATTTAAAAACGTATTTCAGAAACTCACAACACGACATTATAGGCATGTGGGTCATGGGAGTGGGAGTCAGCTGAGCTTCTGGGCAAGGTTGGGATGAAAAAATTTATATTAAAAATATGTGAGAAAAAGAACACAATCTTAAATTATTTTGAATGCCAGAATATTATACTTATTCTTTACTGAGTTTGAAAACAATAATGACAAAGTCTTGGACACACAATGTCAAGTGCGCTCTTCCTCGTCTAGTTTGAATTTTTATTTCTGCTGTCTTTGGTCATTGTTTCTTCCTTTTGTGGTATCCTTCTCTGCTGCATTTAAATTCTTTAAAGAAGACCTATTTGTGTCATTCTTTAACATCACAGTTTATCTTGATATGTAGCTTATATTTTCTTTCTGCTTCTTTTCCTTTTAGATATAAAACATATCATGGAAATTTACTCATTTTACATGGGTACCTCTTTTGTCTACATGAAGTACAGATGTTATTAAACTTCTGTTTTACAGAAATAAATTATATATTTATATATATAACTTAAAAAGAGTAAAATGAGCATTCATATTTTGATCACAGATTTTTATTTAAAAAATGGAATGTGTCTTTGAAGCCCTGAACACAGTTACTTTTCTATTTATTTACTGAGCATTTAAGTTGCTTTTCTGATTCTAATCAACATTTGTCCATCATTGCCTGTCTCTACATGGTTTTATATCTCTTTCATTTTGTTGACATGATGTCAGCAAAGATCTCTAGATCTCTTTTTCAAAGTCTTTACATCATCACACATCTCTCTGCACCTTTCCTTTTTTCTAAAACTGCCTGTTTCTTTTTTCTCCTCAACTCAGATATTAAAGATGTTTGCTTACTTCTCTTTTTCTACATTGTATGATCTCATTGATGTTTTTTGTGTGTACTTTTTTTTCTTATAGATTGTGGTCAGTGGGTATTAAAATATATATTTCTGTCTTTTTCAAACATGTATGTGTTTCACTTTTTTATCTTGGTTACTTATCTCTGGGTTATGGCTTATATTTAGTAGTGGGTGATTTTATCTTAGCATGCCAACATGAATCTGAATAGTTTATTTATAAAAACTGTCTGGTTAGGCCAGGCATGGTAGCTCACACCTGTAAATCCCAGTACTTTGGGAGGTCAAAGTGGATGGATCATTTGAGGTCAGGAGTTTGAAACCAGCCTGACTAACGTGGTGAAGCCCTGCCTCTACTAAAATATACAATTAGCCAGGTGTGGTGGCAAGTGCCTGTAATCCCAGTGATTTGGGAGACTGAGGCAGGAGAATCACTTGAACCTGGGAGTCAGAGGTTGCAGGTAGCAAAGATCATGCCATTGCATGTAAGCCTGGGCAACATTCCATCTCAAAAAAGAAATTGTTCTTCATATTATTTATCTAAAATTATAATTTCATATAGAATGTTTTCAAACTATGTTCATTTGAAACTGAGAGGATCATAGTTTATAGATTTGTTTCTTTGATATGTCATAATGTCTGTTTAAAACAATTATTAAATATTTACTCTTAAAAATGCTTAACTTACTAATTCTGTGCATTTCTGCAGATATAAGAAACTTCTAGAAATGACAATAAATATGCTAAATATACTTGGAAATGAAGACTTCAGTTCCTATGGAGACTTAACAGATCAACTGAAAATGCATATTCTGATTAAGAAGATAAAACATAAGGTAATTTTTAAACAAATTTTATCTTAAGGTCTGGATTACATGTGTGAGACGTGCAGGTTTGTTACATAGGTAAATGTGTACCATGATGGTTCGTTGTACCTATCAATCCATCACCTAGATATTAAGCCCCACATGCATTAGCTATTGATCTTGGTGCTTTCCCTCCTGACCCCAACAGGCCTTAGTGTTTGTTATTCCTCTCCCCGAGTCCATGTGTTCTCATCATTCAGCTCCCACTTATAAGTGAGAACATTCAGTGTTTGGTTTTTGTTTCTGTGTTAGCTTGCTGAGGACAACAGCTTCAAGTTCATTTATGCCCCTGCAGAGAGCATGATCTCATTCATTTTTATGCCTGATTATACTAGGGCATAGAATACGCCATAGTATTCTATGGTGTATATATGCCACATTTTCTTTATGCCATCTATCATTGATTCCTTGTCTTTACTATTGTGAATAGTGCTGCAATGAACATACAAATGCATGTATCTTTATACAGAATGATTTATATTTCAACGTCATTTTAAATCAGTTTTAGTATTAAAAATCATGTAATTTGTTCAAATATTGATAGAAAAACCCAAATTTTGCCAAAATATGTTTAAGGTTTATTCTGAGCCAATATGTTGATTGTGGCCCTGGATTACACAATCTCAGGAGATCCTGAGTGTTTTATGAGACAGTCACATTACAGTTTGGTTTTATCCATTTCCAGTGGACAGAAATTGTAGGGAAAATCATAAATGAATGTGAGCAAGGCATATATTGGTTCAGCCTGAAGGTGGGCCATCCAAAAGGAGGGGCTAACAAGTCATAGGTAGGTTTTAGGGATTCTTTAGGTGACAATTGGTAAGACGATTCTTTTTTTGGGGGGGGGACTCTCCTAAATTTATTGGGCACAGACTTCGGGTGAGGGGGCTGACAGGAGGAGGGCCAGGGCATAATAACTAAAAACCGTAGGTGACAGCAGCAGCTCCTCAAGAGACCTTTGCAGACGGGAGGGGGTGGGTATTTACAAGGATTTGTACAAAGTGCCCCGTGCCAGCCTGGGGAAGGAAAGGTGGGAGGTTTGAGTGTGAGGGGAGGGGAGGAGAGGGGAAGGAAACTGCCTCTCTGCCCCCCCACTCCCAGTCCCCCAAATTCTCCAATCTTTAGACTCAGCAGCTCTCCCTGCCCCTGCCCAAGGCCTAATTTTGAGCTGTTGGGAGGAATGAAAGGTTTCCTCAGTTGCCCTCCCTGACCCTGCCCTGCCCCCAACGTCTCCTCAGGTGCCCCCATGGCAAGGCGAGGTGGGACAGGACTGGCTGGAGGCTCCAGGAAAGTGCCAGCTCCCCGCATTGAGCCCCCCATCCTCCTTCTGTGCCGAGCTGGCCCCAGAGAACAGCAGAGGGGACAATCTTTGCCCTGAATCGAATTCAGGGAAACTGAGGTGATGACAAAGGGAGAATCCCCTCCTGGCGTCTTCCCCTCTTGTAGAAGCATAGGCAACAAGGGAGAGGAAGAGGAAGGTGCCTGGGGCTGTGGTGGCTCAGAGCTCGTGGTCGTTGGAGATGCGGGTGACAAGGGTGCGGAAGGCCAGGGCGGTGCCCGCCACACGGCAGAAGAGAACTCCCCGCAAGCCTGGCCGGGGCAGCTGGCAGACCTCCACTTCGAAGTGGGACAGGGGCTCGGGCCTGCCCACACCCCCCGTGCAGGCAGGCCAGCAGGAACGGCTGTGGCTGGCTGCTGGGGCCTGGCGCAGAGCTGCCATCAGGGCCTCGGGAAGGCGAGAGCTGGTCAGCTTCATACTCCAGGGGAATCGGAGCAGCTGGTTGGGGGGGGTTCCGTTTGATCTTAAGGTAGATGGCAACTTGTGACCTCAGGTCCCCCAATTCTCTCAGGTCATCTGCAACCCTTCGGGTCAGTTTGGAGGTCAGCTTGGTGAAGAGGTTGGTGGTGGGGCAGGGCCGCTTGGTGGGCAGGGTGCAGCCCCGTGGGCCAGTGTGGGAGAAGCGGGGGGCCCATTCTGCACACCCTCACCACTCCCACCCCCTGCCCGCCGGTCCTGGCCACCGTGGAAGGTGCTGCGGATGGTGGAGCCGCGTGCCAGGCAGCCCCCGCTCCCCTGTTTGGGGTGCCAGGCTGTGACTGGAGGGGGAGGCAGGGGGCACCCATGGGGTGCCTGAGCTGTTTTCTTTCCCATTTGGCAACAGTGACAGGTGCTCAGCCCCCGGGCGTTCTGCGGGTCATCATGCTGGGAGGGAGGTTGTTGGGCGTGCTCGTGCTGTCCTTCCGCCGCCCTGGGATCTCTGCCTTGTTGGGGTTGTAGGCGCTGCTGACCATGGGGCTGGAGGGGGGCAGCCCTCGACTTCCGCTCCCCGCGGCACTGCAGCTTGCCTTCCGGCCTGGCAGCTGCTCCTCCTTCAGCTCTGCCTCCCACATGCTCGTTGGGCTGCGTTTGGGCTGCAGGGGTGCAGGGGGTGGGCCACAGAAGTCACTATGCCTGCACTGGCGATAGTAGGTGGAAGAGGAACTCCGCTGCCCTTTGCTGTGGCTGGTGCCTTGCTGGAACTTGTTCCATTGGTGGTGTCACTGGGCGCCCACACCTGTGCCAGGGCCAGCCCTGGGGCACCCCGGTCCCCACCCTCCTCAGTCTTCCTGCCCAGCAGCAGGTAGGTGGCGGTCACTTCGTTGTACTTCTGGCTGGTCAAGGCCTCTTTGATTTCTTCCCGTGTGTAGCCCATACCCACCATCACCTCGATTCTCTTGGTGTCCCCGAAGTCCTCCTCAGGCTCCGTGTATGGCTTCAACTCCTCACCCTCATAGCCGATGTTGATCCATTTGTCTTTCATGATTTGCTCGAGAGTACAGCGTTTAGCTGGGTTCAGCACCAGGAATCTCTGCAGAATGCTCTCACAGTCCCTTGACATGTAGAAAGGGACCCCGTACTTCACCCGGAGGACTCCCTCCCGCAGCTCCTTAAGGTTGTGCCCATCAAAGGAAGGAGCCGCTGACCAGGGTATACAGGATGACCCCTAGGCTCCAGATGTCCACCTCCGGTCTATTGTACTTCTTGCCCTGAAACAGCTCCAGGGCGGCGTATGGAGGGCTCCCACAGAACGTGTCCAGCTTCGAGCCTAGCGTGAACTCATTGCTGAAGCCGAAGTCAGCAATCCTGATGTTGGCCTCGGCGTCCAGCAAGAGGTTCTCGGCCTTCAGGTCCCTGTGTACAATGTTTTTCTGGTGACAATAGTGCACAGCCGAAACAATCTGTCGGAACTTGGCTCCAGCTTCCTTCTCCTTCATGCGGCCATGCGACACGAGGTAGTCAAACACTTCTCCGGCACTGGCATACTCCATCACCAGGTACAGCGTCTTCTCAGTCTCAATCACCTCGAAGAGCTTCACGATGTTGGGGTGGTTTAGGCACTTTATGATGCGGACCTCTCGGAACAGCTGGGCGTGGCCTTCTGCAGGCTGCTGGGGTTCAGCTGGGTTTTGTCAATGATCTTGATGGCAACCTGCCGACCAGTGAGGATGTGCCGAGCCAGCTTGACTTTGGCAAAGTTGCCCTTCCTGATGGTCCTCAGCAGGTTATAGTTGCCTACGTGAGGCTGCTCCTCGGAACAGGAGGCGATGGAGTTCCGGCAACGGGCACCCAGTGAGCGGCTGGACCCGGATGGGCCTTTGTTCGAGGAGCGGCCGCTGCCCAACGTGCCATGTGTGTCTGAGTTCCGATCGTTGCCCGGGGCCAGCGCCATCCGTGAAGACATCTTCTCCTGGTCCCGGGTAGGCAGGGGCGGCCGGGTGGGGGGGGGCGAGGGTCCCAGAGTCCCCTCTCTTCCCCTCCCCACCCCCCCCGCTGGCCTGGGGACGCGAGCTCAAAAGCTGGGTGCCGAGAATGCCCAAGTCCGCGCCCCGGGAGGAGGGGGGAGGGGAGGGGACACCGAGGGTCCTAGCAGCCCCGTGCAGCGGGGAACCCGGGCACCATGGGGGTGGCGGGCGGGGGCCGCGGTGGGGGCGCAGAGCCTGTAAAGACAATTCTTAAAGAAAGTTAAGCCGTGTCTAAACTTGAAACCAGTAGAAAGGAATGCCTCAATTAAAATAAGGTGGTAATGGAGGCCAAGGTTCTTATTATTAGATAAAGCCTCATAGTTGGCAGCCCTCAGAAAATAGAGGGTAAAAATATCTTTTCAGATTTTAAATACACCAGGCTCTTAGGTAATCTTCTCTAGATCTGGAAAGACCTAGAAGGGGAGAGATTGGGCTACATTAATGAAGACTTCCTACAGATGCAATTTCTCCCACAGAAGACAGCTTCCCAGGGCCATTTTAATCTCTTGGCCCTGTGGCAGTCGTTTGAAAATATGTCAAAGAAATATATTTGGGGGTAAAATATTTTGATTTCCTTCAGCTTCTGCAATCTGTGAGGCTGTACAAGAATCAGTTTAGAGAGTAAGGCACATTATAAGAGTTGTTAAAACCCATCTGATGAGATTTTATAGTTTGAAGGGTATGATTCCCCAGTCCCTTTGGATAGAAATTGGGGCAAAAGAAACAAGTTCTTATTCCTTGATATAAATCTTTCAGTGCTTTAAGTAGTGAAAGAAAGATTTTTTTCCTTTACAGACTTGATACTATGCTGTTGATTCTCTTATGTCTTGAACCCTGGCCAGTGATCTGAAACCAAGCAGTACATGTCTCCAGATCACTAGTACCAAATAAATTTGGGGGAGTAACAGGTTTATTGAGAAATAATTAACACACCATGTAATCCACTCATTTGAAATCTATAATTCATTGGCTTTTAGTATTTTCAGAGTTAGGCAATCATTATTACAATTAATTTTAGAACATTTTCATCACCCTGGAAAGAAACCCCACATCATTTAGCCATCTTTACTAGTTCCCTTTGCGCTTCAAACCCTAGGTAACTACCTACCTTCTTTGTATGGATTTGCCTATAAGCCTCTGAAATAAAAAGCAAGTGGTCTACTGTGACTGGCATATTTCACTTTACT